AGCGCAATCGATTTCGACGCCTACATCTCGAATTCTGCCCAGGTTTGTGTAATCTGGCAGTACTCTATCCCTCGTGCTTCCTTCGGTAACACGGCAGCTAGGCGCCGGTTAGGTGTTACATCTGAACGGTTAGCTATATCGTATTGCGCGATCGGGTCACACAGCATGCCCTAGAAAGAACAGCAGTGTTGAATCAAGCTTCTGTACCGGTGGCTGATTACTGCGTGATCCAGCTGGGTCCACGGTTGATTTGCCGTTTGTGGCAGCAAGATTACGCGATGGAAATGTTTGTGCTGAAAGCAGTTCTAGCTTGTCTTTTGACGAGGATCGTCTCTGAATGAACCACCCTGGGGTGATTCCAAGGAGCTCAGATGGCGGACTTCGGCATTCATATCGCCCGACATTGTCAGTACCTCTTGCCTGGTAAATGAGCTCGGAAATCTCTCGATAGGAAGTATCCTCCGCGTCAGAACTGCAGTCCGTTGGGTCGTATATATAAACAAGCACCGTTTTTTATATGGAGAGACATTGAGATTGAGCTGGTAACTGAGCGGCACAAAGACCAATGCTCGCTAGGATCCAATCCGGTAAAGCACATTTAATGCTGTGGCTGAATCTAACTACCAGGCCATACGTTGCATGAGTCATCGCTTCAGGATCACCGGACACACGGAGGAAGAAAAGTGAAAGAGTTCGTCGCTGGCGTTTTGAGATGCATAACCATGATTGGATCTTGTATGCGTTTTTCAGAGACACAACGGAAGTCAATTTTTGGGAGTATACTGTCTCGGTGGGAATCGTCTGTTTGCCAATTTGAAAATGGAAAACATCTTGTGGATTTAGCAAGGTGTTATTTTAGTGAATATGCGCTCATTTGCAAACTAATTTGTTTTTTTTTCTTCGAGAGACTCACCTGGACACCCAGCTGAATCTGTCGTTTGTGGTGTTTCCAGGTGTTATTTTGTTTATTTTTAATACTCAGTGGGATGCATAAAGCACACCAGTCAGATGACTGGCAATAGATGACCAAGCAACGTTTGCGTTTGTCGTGGGAAGTGCTTGGGAGGGACATCGATGGACGATTGAACGTTTGTATCCGTTTACCTTGGTGTGTTATGTGTGGATGGGTGGCTGGATGCACCTGGTATCCCAATTGTTGGTCCACACAGTCTGCCATATCATACCTCGAAAAACTTTGACTAATAGGTTGTGAGATTGTGGTTATTTTGATTAGATGTCCATGGAGGTGCTCGACGCGCCCGACATAATGAAACGTGAGAAGGTTTGGCCGCTAGTTTTGTTAATTCAGAACATGCTCGGCGCATTCAGGTTGTCCTGCTTCATGTGCGATTCAGTGGTTTCCACGGGGTGCTTTTATGTGTCGTTTCAAACTGATGGAATAATCTGAAAGGACCGGGAGAATGCTGTTATATAAGCTGCTACCTTGTTGTGGTCTTCACTGAAGTCAAATGGACGGTAGCCGAAAAGCGTACAACTTGTAACTGTTATGGGATTTTGATTGGCAACGACTTTGCGGGTTGTGTATTCTCGGTCAGCCACATTTTAGATGGATTCATGGAATTCGGTCCTTACTGTCTCCCGTTATAGTATTAGCTGTTATTTCTCGAAAATAAGTTAGTGGAATCACAACCTGCTGCAGGTTCAGTTCACGGCAAAGGAAATGAGCACGCATGGCATGCGCCGATACGCAGCAGTTCCCCGGAGGAACGGATAAGGTCGAGAGGCCACGTGTAATTCTTTTCGAGGAAAGATTCGCTCCTCGTTAGAAGTACTCTAGTGTTAACCGTTCAAAGAAACACAGACGCCAGGTATATTTCTTGGTAAAGGTTTTCACAACGGTCCGTTTCATCGTTCCTTCGTTTCTTATTTCATTTTTTCTCGGGTATTCCCACCTCCAAGAGCTAATTCCACTATAGCTGAGTCATCATCATCATCATCATCGACAGCATGACATCAGTATTCAACACCGATGCTTCACTATGGCTGAGACACGTTACAGTGTAATGGGCAGTGTTTCCCGCGCCGTTTTCGCCTTCGTTCCACAGAAATGAAGGGGTTAGCTAGCAGAATGTGTATCATTAAGCTGAAAACCTACACGTGCTTCCTGAACGTTTGACCTTTCAAAATTAGGTGTAATTCTGTGTTAGCTTTTTTATATCAGGAGCTATGGGAGCTATTCAGTCCAACGAATCCAGGATTAAATAAACTGTGGAATGACTTGTATATAGGATAGCCACAAATAGGAAGCTTCTGTTGGAGATATTAGTGCCAGCTTAGAGCTACTTAGCTGAGTGGACGGATATGTAGTGCTTTTTTCAGCTCCATTAGAGCTCTCTTTTGCAAGGTCATTTTTCTATTGAATAGTCGAAACTGTCCCTAATAAACCCTTCATTGTGCCTACCTTATCAGGTTCTCACTGTTCAAATCAACAAATAGTTCAGGTTTCCGCCTCAGAATTTCGCCCGTCATGGACATTTTTTACTGTTCATGACACTGCATAACACTACAGTCCACCGTTAGTTCTACCACAGCAGACGCGGTCATTCAGCCCCACCTTCCCTGGCTAACTGGGCAAGTTAATGATCTCCAAACGGCGTTACCACATGATATCATCACAAGCATTCTATCAACCTAGCTTTATTGACAGTATTTTCTTCAGCTTAGTTCTCGGTCTGAGCCTCCCAAGCTATCATCCACGTCAAAACAGCCACCAAAGGTTCACAAGGTATATTAACACCCAAAAGCAAGTCAAGGGCACTTGTGCAGCGTGTCGTGTATATGGGTTAAGCGACAACCTGGAAATTCTGGCATCATCTGGATGCGCCATTGGCAACCGGTATTCAGCCAATACTGGGTCATGATTGCCTGTTGGTTTCACACTTTCGACCAATCAGGTCTCGGCTTGATGCCGGACCGGCAAGCGTCCCGAACGTTTGGCCATTCTTGTGCGGGATAGGCTTCTCGGTCATAGCAGCGCCTAACTGCGAGCGGTAAACCGGAATCAATGTGGAATTCCGCTTAGTATTAGTCCACCTCAACTTACTGGGCCTGTTAGCAAGGGAAGTACCGATGTAGTGTGCTTTCATGCTGCGCTGTTTGATCCGTTCACACAACAATACCTATTTTGCTGACAAAGCCTCGGTTAGCGAATTGCTGTTGAGGCTGACGCCTGTTAGATTCGTGATTCGTCCCTGCTAGTGATGTTGGTGATGTCAGTTGATGTCATTGAAATCGATATCTTTCGTAGGCGACTGTTGGCCGGCTGTGCATTTCCCCGTGATCCGTATGCTTGGGATGTTTGCTGTCGTTGTTTGTTTCCCTGTTACGGAGTTTTGGAATTGGAAAATTTGCTCGCCATAGGGAGGTATTTGCTCCTAAAGTTTCTCGGTCAGGAGATCCTACTGTATGTCTTTTCTCAGATGGATTTATGCGGTGTGTTCTCATCTGTTTACATGCAACTGGCTGCTTGTTTCCTGGCTTATCAATTAGTTTTTGTGGTGCAGTGACAGAAGACTTTGTGGTATCACAGCTCGAAGATGGAATTCCCGGTCGTCATCACTAACAATAGAAGTTTAACTTAGATAGTTTGTTGACGTGATTTTTTGAATCAGTCCCCACACAAACCTGTCGTGTTATAACACTTGTAAATTCAGCTCACGTCGACGGTCCGTAGTTTTCTGCACTACAGAGCTCGACTGTATGACTCCCTAGTTTGACTGATCGAGCTGTAAACTTCTTGATCGACGTACTCCGTGCTAGAGGCTTGAGAGATCTTGAAGCAAACATTAAGACATCTAGTCAGTGTTGCATAGCTGAGTCCTGCATGTATATCCGCTAACCAACATGTGAACAAGCATGGACTGCGTTCGAACTCCGTCTCAGAAAGCCATCTTCGTGGGAATCGGGTATTCCAACAATTTCTACTGCTTGGTCAACCACATGATAGTTCCTTGTTCAAAGGTTTCTGGCCCTGAACGTCTTTCCACGTGTTAAGCATCAAAACTGCCTGAATTTGTCGAACGGGACTACAGAGAACACCCATTAAATGTCTTCTTCGGACACCGTCTTTACAACGCCAAAGGCAGGCCTGTCATTGCTTGACTCCAAATTCACAAGACAGTGCAATCTGCACGCATGTTCATCAGTATCCGACTAGCACTCCCTTCCCTTGAGAATCCTCACTAAACCAAAGGCTACCAGAAAACTACCGCCGCAATGATATCATTACCGTAATCATTGCCTGATTTACACTCTGTATTAAGCTGAAAATTTGATGGATATTTCAGCTACTTTCCGAACGTCCTCGTTCATTTCAATGAATGATTTCAAATTCAGTAAGGGCTCCATGATTCAAAGCGCTTAGTGCCATTCCGCTTGAAGGACAAGAACTAGGTAACCTTTATTTCAAATTCACAAGTCTTATTTTTAGCGACCGTAGGTCCTCTTTTAAGGACGGTCAAACAAAGCGACTTATACGCAACATAGAATAGCATGTCTATTGCCTCCAGAAGCTCAGTGCTTCGAGGCCAACAGAGAAAGAATGTGGGATTAATATCCCAGTCTATATGAACACTGAATGTGGATATGGTACATTCCTGTGTCCGGCTGTGTCTCGACTCACCTATCCGATATACTCAGGCCAATTAGGGTTTCATCAACTGGGGGCCTTCCTGTGGCTATGGTCGTCGTTCACCTAACGGGAGATGATCACCAGTTGGCGAGACGAATTTCCTTTACTTTTTGCGCTGATGCGTGCGTATATGCCTGGTCTTCACGATGGAGTCAGATTTTCCTGTTGTGCGTCAATCATATATAGCACTTCCTCAGTTTGATTTCCATGCAAATTCGCACGCGGAGTGAGTAGTGGGAACCCATTCATGGTTTCATCAGCGCGGTACTACGCGCTCGTTGTACTAACGCACATCTATCGGACTAACTGATAGTACTCTTACCGAGGCGTGTCTGATACCCAATTACAGATAAAGTTGATGTCACGGATCAGCTACAGTCCTCTCTGAATCAGCGTGCAGATTTGGTGCGGGACGAAATTGCTCTTTCTGATCTCACGGAACTGGATCGTTACTGCGAATTACAAGGTACGTTGCTGGTATTGCTGTTTCCAATCATTTGTTTGGTCTCGGGCTTTGTCTGTGGATTTTTTTCGGGTCCCCTGAGCCATGAGTTGAACGGGTCTATACTTTCACCCTTAAGACGGATGTCATACTTTGATGTAGATCTCTGTGGCAGTGCAAGCTACTTACCTAATTTTGCTAAATTTCTACATTCCCTCGGTTGTGGTCCTTCACCGTACTTTTTCTAGTGATGGAGGGTTTTTCATTTGCATTCGGTGCAGGTTCGCAGATTGCACAGGTAACAATCTCGTCCCCGTAAGTTGTGAACTTGAAGTGAACTCTTCACGATTGACGGAAGATAATGCCGAACAAAGGCCAGTCTGATGGCCTGGCTGTGTTCGTCATCCGATTGAGTGCCTTGTTTTTCGTCAGCACTCGTTTAGATGCTGTCCGCACGCTCGGACAATCTGAGGTGCTGGTAGCGTGATGGGATTGGGGAATTTCCAGTATATATTTCGTCATGTAAGTAAATCCGCTCCATGTTTAGAAGCCAAAAAGCACTACAGCTCTTTCATCCTTACTGGGAATCGCCAGCAGTGCGCGTCTGATGAACCCACGGCGGAAGACTAAACCGTTCGACCACGAGCGGCTGATCAGCAATATAACTGGTACTGTCTGATGAACCCACGGCGGAAGACTAAACCGTTCGACCACGAGCGGCTGATCAGCAATATGATTAACTGGTACTTAGGCAAGATTTGGGATGATTGATCTTTTAATCACGACACACAATCCACATCTCATGGCTACGTGTTGACTAGCTCCTCCAGTGATGAATTCCCAGATGGTAAGTTTTCCGATCCTGTGACTTATTCTCCGAATTATTCTCTGAGCCGCCTGTAGTGTGTTGGCGGTGTGAGATGCGTTGTCGTCCAACTTAGCGAACAGACCAACCGCCATAATAGGAAGTGTTTCACTTCCACACGGGTTGGTTTTTTTTATATCCGCATTGATTGAATACAGCCTTGTAAACACTCAATCTGCGGTGGTGTAGATCGATTCGGGATTCGATGTTCCAGCTGACGGTAGAGCAGCTACGTTACTATATAGCTGACTTCTCTGCCGGTTTTTTATCACATCGAAGTATTCCGATAACCCCCAGACAGGTAAGTAATGTCGCCTGTGATTTTTTCTAGCCGAATGTTCAACGAACTGAACACCCTGAACCTGCTGTGAATCCAAGCGTATAGGATTGGAGGTGAACAGAAGATAGGCACTTCCAAGTCCAACAGCATGTCCAACCTATGACTTCCAGAAGGCAATGACTTTGCGCACTGCACCACTGCAATTAAGGGATCACTCCTCTCGAGAATACAACGAAGAACTGTGTTCACAAGTTTGAATACAACGACTACACCAAGATCTGTATAGAATAGACGGTCAGAGAACTTCATACCTAAGCATAGCGGAAAAATAGACAGGCCATTGGGAAACGCAGATGAATGTCACTGAAAGACAGCAATGGTAGTGCATGCTTTGGACACGGGACACAAAATAGATTTGGAAAATGTTGAGGCTTTGAGGCCGGGACTTTAGCCTACATCACAGAGTCTGATGGCTGGGGGTGGGGGTAGAAATCGCCAAACATCCCAATCTGAATAGAATGGATCTGAAGTGCATTAACCAAGTCCATCAGTGAATTTTCGTTTAGTCCCACTCACCGCAACAAAATTTACCGGTGGCACCCAAGATAACTGAAGCGCTTTGAACCGTAAACATGACTTGAAATTCCTCCAACCCATCAGCCATAAGATTTAGGCAACCACACGAGTCCACAATACCTTTTAACTGACATTAAACACTGATCTAGTGCGCCGTTTGGAAAAGATCATTCTTGTTGTGTTCCCATCTACCTTAAAACTTGGTCAGGTTGCTAACCTACTCACTCAGCCTGACGAAGCGTTTGTGTCAAAGGCGAAACTTTGCCTACCCATAAAACCAGCGATTGTTTAGCGAACCCTTCTGAAACAACGACTTCTCAGTGGCTTCCAAACTTTTTCCAATTGAAAGAAGACCTAAAACGGTTTTAGCGATTCCACCGGTGCAGTTGCAGCAACCTACCTTTGCTACGATAGTTTCGTACTGCTCACTCGTGCGGGGAGTTATCATTTGAGGGGTGACGTGTGTGTATACACATTGATGCTTAGTATACGGTCAGCTTTGGGGGATAGATCTATCTTGTCGTTATACTTTCACTGGACCCTACTGAGCCAAAATGAGATGAGCGATTTCACTACTTAACAAGTTTGGAGACCCGTGATCTGGGGCCTATTGTTCGTCTGTTGACAGTTAATTCTATGTTCATTCTTGCCTGAAGAATTTTCTCACTATCTTCATAGGTCATTCTCGTTAATCCACATCGAGCCTGAATAGCTGGGAATTCAAATTTCGCTCTAACCAGGTTTTATCAACAGTTCGTACATCTAGTTGTTTGTTTCAATATTTTGGCATCTGACGTACTGGCATTCTACTAGGGTCCCAACACAACACGTTGGATACACTCGAGTTGTCACTTTTACATTAACGAACATGTTGACATGGGAGCGTCGTCACAAGATGGGGCCTTTTGGTCTAGAATTTTCCTTCTGAAATTCAGGTCCCATAAACAATAGGGCCTAAGGAAGGATCGCCGTTGGATGCGTGAGTAATTACCCTACAGGGGCTAAAATTCATTGTTCTCCATTACCTTCATACTAAAGGGCAAGAAGAAGGGGTCGAGATGGCTCAGTGGTTAGAGCACCAGTTTATTGACCGGAGGGTCCGATCTCCGATTCTCGACCGCTCCTCTCTAGGTTTGGAAATCTGGAAGAATCCTAGCCTTCGTACTTCCTTCAGGTGACATGACTGCTAGGCACTGAAAGGATATTACACCTGAACGGGTTTTCTAAACAGTAATGTTGAAATCGTGTACCTGTGGTGGAAAATTAGACCTTTCTTTCGTGGCTGGACGTCTGTCTCAGCTTGTTTTCAGCCTTGAATCGGTCACTTAGCTCGTCAGAGTTGGTAAAGATTTGCTATTTCTAAATTGGTTTCTATCATGGTTCCCAATGATATCAACCCATTTTGTTCCACGGTTTTTCTCACACGTTTACATCTTTACCGCATTCAGAACGTCTTGCGACTTCCGAAGCAAATTTTGAGCAAATGCTTGATTCCACCAGCGATGGTATTTCTATGCACCTTATGGACAGTGTGCGGCAGTTTCATCAATCGATGCAACTAATCAAATCCTTACAAGGTAAGTTGAAGATGAGAGCCCACAGCGTTCACCTATTCAGTCGTGTAAAAAGACATCTGATGCTGTCGTGTCATGGAGCGTCACCACATTCCTTGCGGTATTTCACGTGAATTGGCGCACACTTATCGGTGTGCGTTCACGCATTCATTCGTGCACATTCACTCGCACATGGCTTATGTGAATACACACGTACGGCATTTAACAGCCCTCATCGGCCGTATTGATTTGTCTGATAGCTTGGTGAAGCAAACCGGCAGTAGCTACTTGCACCGATTCTCGCTCAGACTCTCGCGTTATCTTCACTGCAAGTATCCTGGCTCTTAGGCTTTCTGTGATCGTCAACGGACGTGGGTTTACGTTGCTGTGTCCATATTCTCTTTACTGTCCAGCTCGGGCAATTATCTGTAGGCTTATTGTGTCGCCTGAAAATAAAGTGGTACTAGTAACTAATAGACCCTGGAAGTACCGGGCATTTTTTATCCACATTTTGCGTCGTCTCCCTGCTGTGTCTGACCGAACCGTTTTCCCCTCAACATGTATTTACGCCCAGTTGTCGCGGATCGGATGAATTCCAGTACCATCACCCATGAGCTGAACAGAGTTGAATACTCTCTCTTCTACCATTGTCAATGGAATTCCCTAATATAGGATGGTAATATGATAGTGGTATGATATTGTAATAATATGGAACAGAACAAATCCGACTCGAATTCAGGAAGCTGTTGCTTCCATGCCTTTTGCAAGGGGCTCTACAAGTTTTCAAGAGATCCTCTTTTCAGGTGTACCCATTACATCATGCACTTGTTATCAGCCACCCCTCCGAACACAAGCCATCTCAGAATACTTAGCACATGTTTTATTTCGGCTTGGTAGGCTTTCTTCAAAGGGCTTAGTTTTACTTTTCTCGTACCGTACATTTCTACAGAGTCTTAATGCATTCATTCTGAAGCAGCACCAGATTTTCACTTCGCGTCATTTCCAAGTGTTCCTATTATTAGATCGATATTTAGTGTGTGAAGATTCTCACGTCTGATCAGCAATAATTCTCTCAGTAGACTCACAGTCTATGGGAAATGGATGGAAATCTGGATTTTGTCATGAGCAATGACTCCAACGCCATCTGAAGATGGTTTTACCTACCAGGGAGAATCGGCTGTTCGGAAGANGATGGAAATCTGGATTTTGTCATGAGCAATGACTCCAACGCCATCTGAAGATGGTTTTACCTACCAGGGAGAATCGGCTGTTGGGAAGAGCCATGTGTAGACGGAGGTTCGCTGTAGGCTTGGGTTCCAACCGGGCACTATCCTGTGAATAATGTGGCATCCACTATGAGACATTCTTGAAAGTGTCTTTTTTGCGAAGTTATTTTCAGCCCTCCGTTACCAGTAAATGCCTTTGAAACTCAAGCTGGTTTGTTTACCTGAATCACCGGAGGATATCGCCCGGGTGCACAAACTGGTGAGGTCACTGACTGTCATGCTTCTGAGTTTGTTATATTCCATGTTAACAGAACGGTTATCTAGGTGACAGTTGGGAAATAGCTATCTTTGTGTGTGGAGATTTCGTCCTGCTAGTGGAGCCAATCTATGCTGAAAAGCCGAGAAGCACTGTACAGCTGTTTCATCCTTATTGGGAATCATCAACAATGCGCATCTCACGAAACTCCGAAGAGTCTCGAACCCGCGACCTCCTGGCTAGTAGTTTGAATACAACCACTCGGCCACGAGCGGCTGATCAGCAGTGTGAGTAACTCGCACTTAGACAGGATATAGCGCCACTCATCCTTCAATCACGGGATCCACATCACGCGGACACACGTGTTGACTGGCTCCTCGAGCAACGACTTCTCAGAGGAAGTTTCACTCATCGGGTGAAGTTTATTCTTTCACTGAGCTACTTATAGATTGTTGGTAGTGTGAGGAGATTTGAGATTTTTGTGAAAATAGCTAGTTTGTACATAACCTTAAGATTGCACGTAAGCTGAAGCGAAAACATATCCTTAGTTATGTTGGCCTGGCTGTATGCTCATTCATCTTTTCCTCTCCTTGTACAGATGAATTGGCTTCTCTAGCTCAGCTCAAGTCCACCTTATCTCGAGAACTGAAACAGGCTACGGCTGATCCGATAAAATCTTCCCGCCCCCCAGTGGAAAACAATGACTCCCGCTTACCGAACCAATCGGACGAAGTTTACCCCCTCATTGATGAAGATGTTCAGGAGATCAATGATCATGGATTTTCGAACACGCTCAATCGAGCGAGGAGTATTACGGCCCGTGTAGCTGCTTGTCACGCTCGAGCTGAGGCTAGCCTTTCATCGTACTGTGCCGAGCAAAGGCGTCAGACTGACATATGCAACAGTTCAGGTAGATTTGGTTGGCGCATTACAGTTCTAGCTTTGTTTTGTAAACCTTATATCTTTAGTCTTTAAAGGGTTGTCGTTAAGACCTTTAGCTTCAGTAGCTTGGTGCCAAAGTGAATTTTTCCCTTCCGAAAATTTATTCCGTTACGCCACTGGTCATTCTCTCCCTATCAGAGAGTGTTGTCGTAATGGTGATGGCCACAATATAACCGAGACCCAGGCTAGCGGGGAATAAGAACTTCATCAACTATCATACTTCGGAAAACAGGGTCATGTTATGTATAGGTATACACTCATTTCTAATTTAGTATCGGACTATTGGGGGATTCGATCAATTCTCAACCGCGTCCTGCATTTACATCAACCTCCAACTTTACGGCCCACATAATGGAGCCCCTGTTTCATTTGGAAAAATATGTAAACTATGGAAGTATTTTCCCCCATATGGTTCTTTGAAATCTTCTGTACAGTCATCCTGCTCGTCTGGCCCGTTCTGGAACCGAATTCGTTTCTTTCGTTCTTGGATGTACTTGGAGAAGTACACCTGTCTATTGATTAACAGCGTTAATAAAAGTCGCAAGTGAAACTCTTGTCCATATTGATATTCAGTTTAATTTTTTTCATTTGAGAAACAAGATTGGTAGATTTTCAGGAACTAGTTCTAACCGGTAAGCCCTCAGTAAAGCGGAACCGGTATTGGACTCTTTGAGAGTTTTCTTGAACCCCTTAAAACGTAACACTCGCCACTTGACTGTGCTTGAAGTAGGTGGATATCAGCCCAAATACGTGATGCCAATAGTGAATGTGTCGCGATACGCAGTGAACGTTTGAAGTAAAAGTCCGGGTAACAGGCTATATCCTAATGTCTGCCAGTCATTTGGATCATAACATGTTCCTTAGTGGGCGCCTGGTGGCGTTATTTTTAGGCCACTGGTATTGAGCGTAGTTCACGAGAAATTCTCATTTAGGCTATTTTGATCATTTTATTTTGCTGCGCCAAATCCCTGTTCTAACCACTTGATCACCACTAACGGAAGCCAGGTAGACGCTGTTTCTTAAGTGAGTTTAGAAAGCTCATCACGTCACAGGATGAAAGCAGTAGATACCACTCTCATCTGAGATACCACACTCTCCAAGGTTTTTTGTGATAGCAGATGTGAATTTTCGATCCAGGTTTGCTGTTAACGATGTAGTTGCCGTGCTTTTGACTGGGGAACCTATACCGGAAACTAGAGACCTCTGTGAGACCTCTAAAGGCCTCAGACAAACATTAGGTTTGCCTGAATGGACGTCTCCAGTACTCAGTGAATAGGCGAGTCCTGTGCAGCGAATGCGGAATATGTGACAAGAAAATCCAGTGCACCATTTATGTAATTGGGATCCTCAATAAGGTTATCTCTCTCATTTAGTAAACCAATGGAATACTTTTTGGGGACGTTTGAAATCGTAAGGGGGAAAATAACTTTCATCAACGGCAAATTATGATAACGTACAACTTAAAGCATTTCGGTCACTCCTTGTGGATGTCCCTTATTCGGCGATTTTACTGGACTATCAGTTCTTGGGGACCCAGGTTTCGTGGGCTTATTCTTCCTGGAGGAGTTGACATGTGATTAACGTATCTGTCCAGCTGGTTGCTCGGTCCAACTGCTTCGGATCACAAAAAGTGTAGACCAGTCAGTAAGTGTTGAGATGGTGCCGAAACGCTGATTCTTCCAATAGATTTTGCTATTGATGGCTTGAAATATGCTGCATAGTTTAATGCGCATCTGGTATAAATGAGGCATTGTGCGTATATACCTGTGAAGATGATTCAGTATGATAAATGAGCCTTGAGATAGTCTTTGTGAGTGTTTCGTACCGACGAATCGTGAGATGGATTTGGCCTCTCAAATTACCAACCTCTACTCATTCTTACACAGTGCCTTCTGAGGTTCATTCTTTTCGAGGTTTTTAGTTGCCGTCTACACCGGACGATGTGTTGCTAAATTCCTGTTTCAAGTGGATTTTCTTCGAATTCTGCAAAGCCTGTTCCTTTTTTGTATGCGTTTATATTAGTCATCTAATCCCTGAAATAAATACCCATCAACAGGTACTGCTCCCGACGAGACCGGTAACAACCTTAGTAAAGTTGAGGAATCAGCGGTCCATTCAACTGGTTTGTGAGATTGGTAACCCGACGGTCTGCAAACGAAGGTTGAGTCGCAGTCGTCAATTGATGAATCGGAACTAGTCAAACTCCGCGGTGAGTTTTTCCCAGTAGTTACACACTTAACTTACTATAACTATAACCTCAGGGTTATAGTATATAATCCAAGCGATTTCGTGCGTTCATCTCTTCAGGACGAAAGTGAACCAGAGTAAGGCATTTCTTAGAGGCATTTCAAATGTTTTATCAAGCAGCTTGACACGAGGTGGGTGAACGAACTGCGTATCATGTGTTCGGTGAGAGGATGGTAACTTGAAATGAAGGTCGTGTTCTGTGAGTAGACCTCGTTGCGCCTACGTCGACACCCATGCATTGCTCACCATGCATTGTTTGCGGCTATTTTCCGGGAATTATGTCGGCTTGCGCTATGTGCGGGAATCCGTTTCGGAGCACGGCAAGGTGCATCTAATTAACCACGGGTGCATGTGTTAGTCAAGCCGAGATTGTTTTTCTAGATGCTGTCCTTAATTGATCGTTTTGACTCTCAGGTTATCTGTTGTTTCCACTTTGTTGCGCGGTCGCCTTGACTATTGTCCAAGAATTCGATATGCACTCGTTCCGACAACTTGTGTGTATTTCGTTGCATTGGTTAATTCCAGTTTTGCTGGTCTGGTGCCTGGAGCAGCTTCACTTCAGGCAAAAGTATGCACTCTAAAACATTCTAATATACCTTGAAAATGGAGAATACAATGAAATACAGTGGTCTTCCCAAGTTGTTTCTCCCAAGTGGAGAACCCCCCTTAAAAACATCACTTCGTTGCATCTCTGTAAACCCGGGTCCTTGGGCGAACATATCCTTGTTAATAAGATATCATTATTTCTCAGACGAAATGGTGGTCACTAGGCCCAGGCAAAAAGACAGCTCAGGACTCCGCTCAATCACTGTTGGCTCTCGACTTCCCCTGTCTAGGCTTGGGCAACCTGGCAGTACCCCGCCCTCGTGCAACCTTCGGGTGGTGTGGCAGTTAGGCACCGAAAGGGTGCTACATCTGGACGATTTTTTTCTCATGCCATGATAGTTTACTCTATTCCCTAAAGATTTAGTATAAACTCCTTTCAAAACTAGCATGTGGGTAAGTGAACTGGTTGCTGAAGATAAATACACATTGAGTAATATGATACTCGAAGCTTCAATCCATCAAGGTGTTGGTGACTCAAACAAGTCTCATCAGGTATGGAACATAAGCTGTGCATTTCGTCGGCATACATGATCATGAGGTGAAAGTTGATCTTCATGTTGCTGAGTAACGGCTCAAAGGAAGTTGGTAAATAATGGCTGACTGAATGGAACACTACTGAAAATTACACTTAGTATCTACTCCAATTTGAGATTGAAAAATCGGACATTTGGAACCGTAGTGGCACCTCATATTTATTGTCACGTATTTCAGATGGGGTCTAATAATAGGAGGACAATGTGAATTGTAAACCAATTTAATGGAAATTAAATATTACACATAGGGTCATTCAGTGGTCATTTGAAACTAGAGATTAAATCGTTCTCACCGAACATGTGCTTTCTGTCAGAAGGGACCATACTGACCAAGTCCTACGATTGATGTCTTGGAGACCTACTGTATGCCATAGCAGACGTGCTTTTACAGATTTGGGAGCTTCATTTGGTATAGTTTAGTACCCAATGTGACTTCCGAAGGCTTTATTGCAGTATTTGTTATGGCAGCTTGTGTTCATTAACCAACACATCCACACTTTCTGTCGGCCAGAAAATCCATATGCAACTTGATACTGTCTCACTCTAATGTGCTTCAGATTTTTTCGCCGAGTAATTGAACGAACGAAGTTGGATGTTCTTTCTTTTTGGATGGATTTTTACGATATTAGATAGTGCACGATCCCATCCGATGACAGGATGATGGCATTTTGTGCCGAGAATATGGTTGCACTGCGCGGCTAAATGCACTTACACGCTGTTGCAACATTTGGTTTAGGGAGCAGGATTGGTGTGAGAAAACTAGCGACCATGGTGTTGCAGACAAATAAACATAACCCGATTAGTCACGTGCAGGAATTGGCTTCGATGTACAAAATTAGGGTATATTTGGGAAGTAAGTATATGACTGTGCATGGTCCTGGCAACTAATGATAATGAAGGATAACCTGAAAGTTGTACATTCGAGCTAAATTAAATTAAATTAAATTGGATAACTCAAATCCTACCAACCCAGTGAGGTGGACCAGTCTGGGTATACTCCAAGGTCTGTTGCAATAGACCTTCAGTGAGAAAAAAGTAAGCTAACGTCTACGACGAGAGATAGTAATAATCCCCTCTTCTATACGCAAGCAACCTTCAAATACTTACCAATGCCTTCTCCGTGGGTGTGTAGTGCATCCTATTTATGGTTGGTTCGTAACGTGAAGTTGTGTATATGGCAGTTTAATCTGAACTCCTTCAGAGAAACCCTTGGTAGGGATCGTTAATTTTTCGTGATATTCTGCCTTGCGTGGCCTACTCTGATTGTGTTTGGGAACCTGGAGTGATCGAGGTGGATAAATATGCTGTACGGAAGCTCGTGCATTGCTGTTAGTCCGCGAGTATCTCTGCCACTGCACCAATACAACTAGTCAAGGGTTTCGCTTCTCTTTCTATCTTGAGGAGAACCATGTTTCACATCAACTGAATTGATAGAAATTCATGTTGCTTCACAGCATACGGAAGTGAACTTTAGGGTCAAGGAAGCCGCTGTACATCGTTACCCAATCGGTGACGATGAGAGAGACAGAGGTAATGGCTAGTAAATGGAAAACGGGCAGAGTAGTCGGTTGCGAACGATTGCGCTTTTGAATTTACTCACTAACATACTGCCAATTTCCCGTCTATTTTCAGAGGACCTTCGGACCGCTAGAAGTGAAGTGGAAACTTACAAACAGATGGCAGAAACGTTCAAGCAACAAGGTAAAGTTTCTCTACGTGGACTGCCATTGAGCATACTGATTGTGAACTCCTATCAGTCGTTATTTTGTGGAAGCGTTTTAATTTTTATGGTACGCCATCGGGAGCAATCTTTATTTAGATGTGAGAACGTCCAAAAAACCAACATGTTTGCACATAGCAGTTTCGTTACTGGTTGAAAACGTGGGAAATCTGAATAATGACGTCATGGTGTATGCGTTTACCATGTCGAATACTATCGATATAAGGTTGTTGACCAAAGTTCTGCCGTGAGCAGGCACAATAGGCTCAACAGCGCATAAATCTCTCAGGCAGCATCACCAGATTCCATGGACCACACTATCATCCGAACACTGAACATACTATTCTGCTTCTGTGAGTAAGGGAATTTATCAAGATATCTGCAGTCTTGAATGATAAACCGCGGAAGGGGGTTTCCCCAGTATGTCTGGGACAAGTGCTGTTAGAAGAAATCGCGCTGTTATGATGCCGATTTGTGAAGGCTGTTGTAAATTCACGACAGTGAACATAGTTTCTGGTATTCGGAGTTAATGACGCCTTGAAAAGCTCCTGGTTCCCAGTTTCGGGTTACGGTCACTGGTGGTAAAACTGGTAGAATGAATGCTGCTCGTCCACTAATTGCCTTACAGAATGCAGACACATCGAACCAGCTGCACGTCTTCGGATGCGATGCGAGATTATACAGATCCTGAAGAGGTGTTCCAAGGCTCAAGCTGGATGCGTGAAATTTATTGTCCCACTAATTCTACTGCATCAGCGGTCCGAAACCCGAGGAAAAACAACCGACAAATACCTTACCTGATAAGTATGACTAAAAACGACTCTCGGAGATAGAAATTCAGTACCTCCAGGTCAGAAGATTCTCCTGTACCTCGCTTCCGCTTACTTACATGTACTACTTGAGTCTATCGTCGAAATTCCGATGTGCACTGAATCCGGAAATCTCACTACTCACTTAGTTCAAGGACTCTGTCTAGACAAGAATGTCGAGCACTAGTTCTGTTTGGTATATGACTGAGCTGGAAGTGAATGCGAATCGTATCTGTTACTTACAGGGCTGTATTAGTTTGTGTCTAGGAGGAAATTTGTGATTCTGGCGCATTGCGAAGGTAGACATTTTCAACCAGCTGTTCAAAATATGGTTGGAATTTTATGCGTAAATCGCTGACCTTATTGGAGACGGAGGCTTACGTTATACGGTTCCGTGACCAGCCCCAACTGTGTTCTTCAAATGGCTGGGGTTGCAAGTAATGTTCAAAACTCTGGCGCCCGTAAAAAGTCTCCCTTTGAGGTGACTGAACGAGAATGTTGGCGCGGACGTATGAAAGCGATCCATCGAATCTCTTTTGAGTGGAAGTCTGCGATGTATCCCTAATCTCATTAGGCTATAAAATGCATCGGTGTGTCATCCTCATCATTATTATGGACGGCAATAAACCAGTAATATTCCGAAACTGCTATGCAGTAGATTGGTCGTTAGGCGGAGTGAACAAGTTAACGGGCACTAATGAAGAACGGTTGAGGGCATCAGCACTAGGGAAGTTTTTTTATTTTGGCTGAAGTGCTTCATTTATCCACAGGTTCGATTTTCACGAGCAGCGGCTGAGTTACCGAGATTACCCCTTACTGAGTTCAACTTGAACGCCCGACCGCATGACAAGTCGTTGTCGAAACCATATGTATATTATGTGACAAGTCGTTGTCAGACTGAAGGACCCGAAAGCTGTCTACCCCAGTGTCTTTAACGTGGTACCACAACATCCGGGGAAGGTTAACTTCGAAGCTACCCCAGGTTTTGTAAATACTGGGATCAGTGGCCTGGTCTGATTTGTCTCACTAGAGTTTATTGCTTCAGTCTTGGTGCCCAACTGTGCTCAACTATTCAAGTCGTTTTCTTTTAGTCGCATCCATCTGCCTTTGATTTTGATAGCTGTTGAAACAAAACAACACTACTGACTCAACTGGGACAACTATATGGGTGTGAGCGGGCGAAAATTCAACTACAAATATCGAGGCAATACATTAGGTCCATATATGATGATGATTACTACTGCAGACTGTCCAATTCAATTTTAGTCCGCGATCAATTTCAGTCTTGCATCACTTGACAAGTAGTAGAAGCTGCACGTGGGTCGCAAACTTCATTCAAATTGTTTTTCAAGTTCGTTCGTGTGCAACTGTAGTGTTGCGTCATCAGTCAGTGAAATTCACGTTCATCTGTTCGAATAACGTGAGAACCCCCTCTATTTTTCCGGAAGAAGCGGTTTTCGTCACTTAGCTGGAATCATAGGTCTTATCATGTAGCACCTCTTGAAACCTAGTGATAGAATGCTGAAGTAGACTGTTAATCTGTTCTTCCTCCGATATGTACGCTGCATTTTCTGAAGTAGTAAATATTTTTATATTCGCTTGTTCAATTGGAAATAGAAGTTGCCTGGAGCATCTAGCCCCTTCAGGTTCAGACCAAGTTTGGTGCCGTAATGTCATTGGTTGGACTCTGTCCGTGGTATCGTTATGCACTCTTGAGCATCTGTACTCAGCTAGCGAATGCACTTATATTAATCTGGCCATTCAGGTAATGTTCACAACGAACAAAGGGTGCGCTGTCTCCAAGTATTCAGACAAAAAAATTCAGACAAAATTGGCTAACGCCAATAACGTCACACTTCCGAATGACCAGATCTGGGCAATGAACTCACGTCTTTAGATTATTCTAACATGTGTGTTTGCCACGCATGCTTGGGATTGAAATTAGTTGAATGGAAGGTAAAGAAAGTCCCACGTTCAAATTGCTGCTAATTGGATCAGAATCTAAAGTGATGAGTAAACTCTATGGAAAAGTTAACTGACGGGACTTACGAATTAACATGAATCTTAGGTCGTCACGAAACCGAATAGCACGGGAAGAAGGGTAGAATCACGGTGTCAGGTCAATACACAATTTTTTTGGCACCTTATTCTTTGTTCTTCGGTCGAGCCAGAAATCAATATAAAGTTGCAAAAGCGCCTTGTCAAGCATCAGCGATCACTTTGTTGGGCATGCATCTCTTCAATCACGTCACTGTCAAAGTGTACATAAGTTTTGAACATTTTCATAGATGACACTACTCAAAAGGTCGCTGTGAACGTCTTTAACCTCGTATTAATTTTTAATCTACTTTGCAGCAGATGTGTTATAATAATATAATAAAATGATAGTAAGAACTGGGACCGAATGAAGACAGCGTTTGTTCGCACTACTTAGTCTTGATGCAGCGATGAGGACTTTCCTGACTGCGATATTTCTTTGAAGAGCTCTGGAATTGTACGAAAAAACCAGTATTCTTTGTTTTTTTTTCTTCATGATATTACTCAGAAATTGGAGATTTTAATCCCTGTTCGAAGGGCTTCGCTCACAGCGGTGAATACTGTATTCCCACAGACCACCGTTTAGTATACATTCTAAGGAAAAGCGGAAGGAAGTTGTTCAGTTCGTCAACAATTTCTCTTTCTCAGAATTTATGTATTAGGATCGGGTTACTTTCAAACTGTCCCATCGATCCTTATTTACAGATGTGGTCAAGTCAGACTTGCTACTTTCTGTCCGAGAAGAATGCGATACTTTACGCAAAAGAATTGCCAGTATTGAGGCAGACATGATTACCAGCCGAGAGGACCACCAGCGTCTGATTGCTGAAGCCCGGAGGACACGAAGTGAAGCTGACGAGCTTCGTCAAGAGCGTGATGCTCTCAATGATCAGGTCAGCTACTTTCCAACACTTAAGTAATGTGACTAGTGGTGTGTTCCCGCTCTCCTGTGGCTTATTTGTTGTTACATTGCTAATTTCCAATCTTTACAATGCAGCTCGATTCTTATGCATCTGTAGTGTAATGTCTGGTTCGCTGGATTGTATATCGGGCTATGCTCGAGCGACTTAGATCACCGAAATTTAGCGGGCATCTTTGTCCAAGATATTTTGGCTGGCTTTGGTGCCAGCACTGTTCGTTTTTGCTTGCGGGATAGCTGCCGGATCCATTAACCGCCTCTCTTATGCGTTTCTGCGGGCGTGATTAGCTTACATACGAAATCGCTCTCACCCTATTACAGCTTGTTAGATTCTGCATAATTGTGTGCCAGCCTTCAACCGGTTCAGGTTCAAGTTATGTTTGTTCTCTAACGATAGCATTACTAGCAATGCGACCTGTACTTTTCTCCCGTTTACGCATTTATATCAGGTGTAAGGCAGATCAAACGACGCCACTCAATTTATATCAAATAACTGTTTTTTTCCTCCTAGGTTAACACGTGCAATCAGCGGATTGAACAGTTACAATCTGCACTGAGAACCACTTTGCTGGGTCCGATGGCAACACCGGCGGCGAACACCATTACAAACTCTACCTCGACAGCCCACCGGGAAACCGACGCGCAATCTACACCGATCTCTCACCCTGGTACTTCTTCCACCGCTCAACCTCCCGTCTTGCTTTCGCCCGGCCCCGGAAGTATGGTATGTTGGTCTGAACCAGTTCTCAGTATATATATTTGATATATTTCTAGTTAGTGATCCATTCTGGATGCTTTGCAAGTCGAGAAGTTGCGCCTCCACTACTCTCTAAACGACTCATATAGGCCACTCAACATTAATATGTACCTAAAGCGTAATAACACGTGGTCACGGTGATTTGAAACGATATCCCGTCAGACCGTCCACTGACGACCTACCACAAACCTGTCACACCAGACAACGTGCGCTTCTGAATTACGGTCTTTTCGGCATCCAATGTACTTTTCAAAAACTCATAACTTCACATGACTGCGCGGGTCGGTCGATTGAAGGGTCGTACTCCGCAGACACATGTGGTCACTTCACGTTGTGATCTACCTCAGATGGTCTACACACTGTTAGCTCCACCACCAGCAAACCGTTAGTGTACCTCAGTGTATTTAGGCAATATCGTTCACTGTTGGCATCCTTAACTAAACTAACCAAAAGCGAATCTTAGCTACTTTTCAGTCATTCCCGTATGACTTATGACTCTTATGATGTCTCACTGTTCAGCTTATTTGACCCTCATAGGGTCGAAAATATTCTCCGTAATGAACGTCCCAAATGCGCTATCCGTAAACTTCCGTGACTGTTACTCACGCTACTTGTGACTTTTAGGGATATTATTGGGTTTTATATTTTCCCGTATAATGTACCATCATTAATTCATGTGACATCACACAGGTGGTTCAACACTAATGTTGTAATTGTGTTACACGGAGTCCAAGCTAATTGTGTGATCGAATTTTTGCGTGTGGGCTTCCAAGGGGGCATGCGAACGCCAGAGGACCGTGTCAAATGGTTTCAAAGAGAGTTAGTGAAACACAAGAAACAAATATAATATGCCTTTTGCAACGTTAGGCCCGATAGACACGAATCTATTGTTTGGTGAACATCTAAAAGAGCAGTAGAAATTGTTTCTTCTTGTAGTAGAACCTCTCTCCCTAAACGGACCTCCAATTTAATCTGGGATTCTTTGGCACGCTACCAATTTCCGGTAAAGTATCGAAAAAGTCTTGCACTTTAGATGCTACTTGTCCCCAACGGAGACTATCCGTTCCAAAACGAAAGAAGCAGCACGAACATTAACTTTTATGGCGCGACTTCTTTTTAGCCGTTTTGTTCCACAATGCCCGAATTCATTGGTTAGCTGTACTGATTAATTCTAGCGCCCATATCCGGCACCGACCAAACCTCCGCCTTGGAGTCGAAAATATTCTCCGTAATGAACGTCCCAAATGCGCTATCCGTAAACTTCCGTGACTGTTACTCACGCTACTTGTGACTTTTAGGGATATTATTGGGTTTTGTATTTTCCCGTATAATGTACCATCATTAATTCATGTGACATCACACAGGTGGTTCAGCACTAATGTTGTAATTGTGTTACACGGGGTCCAAGCTAATTGTGTGGTCGAATTTTTTCGTGTGGGCTTCCAAGGGGGCGTGCGAACGCCAGAGGACCGTGTCAAATGGTTTCAAGGAGAGTTAGTGAAACACAAGTAACAAATATAATATGCCTTTTGCAACGTTAGGGCAAAACGATTAGGCAGTACACCAAATAGAAATCAACAGGGCACATTCAACTATTTGGAAAGTCACACTAATTCGCTCAGTATCTGGGTTGGTTAGTGAGATTTCCCAAGAAATGGACATATTAGTTCCTGGCAACATTTCGTGCTTAATTCCTTTAAACGTATCGGAAAAATTTATCCTGACTCAAGAACCGTTCAGCCGTCACATAAGTGTCGCATTTTTATGTTTTTCCTTACCCCTTAGGGGCCACTGGGATGATCTCTTCTGTAGGCCAGTGCATTTCCAACCTGCCTGTAATCTTTCTGAGGCGGTCATTCTGTTTTATGGATTTTGTTCGATTTCATTGGATCAGTTTGTTGTGTTTATATCGCTTTTAGAGCATCTGAGACTTACAAATTCAGCTACCCTGTCCAGTTTGCTAGCTGGGATCAAACCGAGCACGATTGGGCAAGACTCCGGCGTTAAAACCGCCCGTACACCACACGTTTGCATAAGACCGCACACCAGCAATTTTTTGCTGGTTTCGTTTCGCCACTCTAGAGTTCTCGCAAATAAATAATTATTGAGAACATCGAATAGAGCGGTGAATCGTCACCGACATTCCGTCGATGGGTTGCAGATGTCGGAGGATACATGCTGTGTTGAGACGATTTATCGTAAATAATTATTGAGAACATCGAATAGAGCGGAGAATCGTCACCGACATTCCATCGATGGGTTGCAGATGTCGGAGGACACATGGTGTGTTGAGACGATTTAACGTTCACATTTTCCCCCGAGTATATTTCACGCTTCCAAGCTTCAAGTGGAATGTCGAGGCATCACTAAACGGACTAGCGTAGACGTTTCTGGTGTGTGATGACGTTTATTGATTGTTCGGAGAAGTAAGGCAAAGAAGAAAGGCATAATGGGGCATCTCTGCGCCTTTCTGTTTTTTTTTTATCTAGGCCTCTTCAATGGGTTGTTTTTGTCAGGGATTAAGGTTTTTCTCATTCCATGTGTGGTCTAAGCACTAACTCATTCTGTGAGGATTGTTTTTGAGCATTGGATACCTTATTGGAGCCGTTCAGTGATTTCTAGACACTGATCGTAAGTAGCCGCCTGTAAACCAGTTTTTTTGAAGACCTTTTAATGATCATACTTAAAACAACCTACTCCACGTTGGGCAGGTTTTCTATCATATGCACCAGTTTGGATTATTTCTGCCAAATTTTTCGGACGTATTGGTACTTAAACCGAACATTAAACTCCTCTTTCACGGCTGTCAATTTTTCACACTAAGAAGGAGTTTGTCTAGTTGATTCCGAATTCGTATCTTAAACTTTCCGCACTTTTTAACCAGAGAACGCCTCACACTCTGATCATTGCATGAAGAATGCCTCTTCCAAAATACACCTCGTTATTGAGAAGTCTCGAAACTATTGAGCGGATCACGTTTTTAGTTGTCATTGAACTACTAGCTGCGCCGGAGTATGAGGTAATGGCCCATTTGTATCTACTACAGATTCACATTGGTAATCAGAAAGCTAAAAATCTACATGGGCATTGGGTTGGGTGATTCAATTTCGCAGCCTTAGTTCATTGCTGTCCAGTGCAAACAAGGCTGGCCTCACTCGAAGGACAGCGGCCTCATCATTGTAGACAGCACCACTTTTGCTTAACTGGAACACAGAGGTGTAAACGTGTCTAGAAAAAACCCTATTGTAACGACTGAAAAGGGGACGTCGTGCTAGCCTGCCGCAAACCTTCAAGTTCTCCACACCCCCAAACATTCCACCCCAGGTAGTTCGGATAGAAACTGACCACACAGACGCTGTGGACATAGTTTAGCGGTCGCTCCTTGCAGCTTTTCCGACCTTCATCCTCTTCTGTCAATTCATATCCCATCCGTCTCTTGGTTTGCGTCACTCTGG